TGACTGAGCCACCCAGGCTCCCCTCATACATTTTACTTTTATATATGCTATAAATCCACAATTCATTGCTACTATTTTTACTTGAGGCAGTCAATTATATTCTAAAGCAAATAAAAATAGCCACCCCAAAAGTTTTTTTCCAAAAAGTATTTTTTTATATTTACCTCAGACCATTTGATATTATCCTACAGCTCTTGGGGGTTCCATTCTATTTTTTTTTTTTTCACTTTTTCCCACTTTGACTCTTAATGGTTTTCATCTCTCTGCTGAAATTTCACATGTTTCTGCATGCTGTCTAACTTTTCCATTAGAGTGTTTAATGTATTAATCATAGTTATTTTAAATTTCTTGTCTGGTAGTTCCAATATCCCGGTCATCTCTAAGTCTTTTCCTGTTGATTACTTTGCTTCTTTCCTTTTTTTTTTTTAAAGATTTTATTTATTTATTTGTTTGTTTGTTTGTTTGGGGGAGAGAGAGAATCCCAAGCAGACTCCTTGCTGAGTGCAGAGCCTGACACGGGGCTTGATCTGACAACCCTGAGATAATGACCTGAGCCAAAATCATGAGTTGGATGCTTAACAACCCACCGAGGTGCCCCTGATTACTTTGCTTCTTGATAATGGGTTGTTTCTCTTGCTTTTTGTTGTGTTGCTTGTAATTTGTTACTGATTGCTAGATGTAGGACTTAAAACAGTAGAAACTGAGGCAAGTATTTACTCTAGGTACATGTCTTCTTTTATTAGGGTATTAGTGTGGGAGTTCCAGTCAGTTAGGAGGTGAGTTGGGTTTGGGTTTTGTTGTTGTGGTTACCTTAGGTGCACACGGGGCTTCAAATTCCTCAGGTTTAGGATGGGTTTGCTGGTGGGAGGGCTTTTCCTCAATGTTTATGCTTTACTCTCAGCTTTAGGTCTTTCTTTTGTTGCTGGGTGCTTGCTTACCTGCTGGTGGGGAGCAGGGATTCACTGTTGTCTTGGTTCAGCCTCAGTGTTAGGCAGGCCCTGTTTTTCTGGGTCTGGGGGGAAGAGGGGTGTAGATCTTTCTGGTGATCCTGCCCTTGCCCCAGAGGTAGGATACTTCTAATGGTCCAGATCAGAATTTCCTGCCTTTCCCCCAGGCATAAAGTGGTGTTTTATTTTTCTTTTACTCTGCCCCAGCTGCCTTGGGAGGGACAGAGTTTACCACCCTTTCCCCAGGGGTGTAAGATTTTTATTCTTTAGAAAAAGGACTGGGTGGACCTTTGCATTTTCCCCAGAGTAGCGGTTGCTTTCCTTCTCCAGACTAGCACTACTGAGAAGCTGTCTCTGGCCTCCTGCCTAGTATTTTTTAATGAACAGCCAGTCTACTGAAGTCTATGGAGAAAAACCCCTGGGTGTCTATGCTCTTGCTAAACCACACAAGACCTTTAGTAAAATTCATTAAAAATTGTACCTGAGTTCTTCTTACTTGCCTGCGTGTTGGTCCCATCGTTCTCCCTCTGCCACAGGTGAACCAGAGCTTGCATCTCTTCATGGAGGTGCCTGTTTTTCCTAAAATTTCAGTCTGGTAGGTTGCCCTGTAACCTCAGCTTTCTGATGGCTTCAAGAAAAGTTATGGTTTTGTAGATTGTTTGGCTTTTTCTTGTTATTGGAGTTGGAGTGATGCTTTTCCCGGCTTTCTATATCCTAAATGGAAGTTAGAAGTTAAGGCAATTCCATTTTATACTAATTTTATTTTCCAGTGAAATGAATTTCCCTCTTTCTTTCCCTGTGATATTGTGATTAAATATATATTTGGTCTTCATCCACTGTTTCTAGACACAGCTCCTATAATTTCCTATATAAGAGCCATAGGGGCATGTTCTGTTATAATATTTGCTTTTGTTCTCAATTCCTGAAATAGCTCCAGGGCAATGAAAGTGAAATGGTGTCTTTTGTTATTTATATAACAAGTCCCTTCAACCCACTTGAGTTTATGTTAATGAGGTGATTTTTGGAAAGCATCCAGATCTAAGGATGGGGGCTAGTTGCTAGAGGAACCAACTGTGTGATTAGGCTGTTGGAACTTTAAGTCCAGTCTGACCTGTGGAGAGGGGAGAGGGGCTGGAGATTGAATCAAGCACTAATGGCCAATGATTTTAATCAGTCGCACCTGTGTAATGAAGCCTCCATAAAACCCCCAAAAGGACAGAGTTTGGAGAGCTTTCAGGTTGGTGAACAGGTGGAGGTGCTGGGTGAGTGGCTTGCCCAGAGAGAGCACGGAACTCCATACCCCTTCCCATATGCCTTGCCCTATGCATCTTTTCCATCTGGCAGTTCCTGAGTTATATCCTTTTATAATAAACTGGTAATCTAATAAGTAAACTGTTTTCTTGAGTTCTATGAGCCACTCTGGCAAATTAATTAAACCCAAGGAGGGATAGTGGGACCCTCCAATTTATAGCCGGTCAGTTGGAACCACTGGTAACAACCTGGACTTGTATTTGGCATCTGAAGAGGGGGCAGTTTTGTGGGACTGAGCCCTTCTCTAGTAAAGCATTAACATGAAGACAGTTGGGAGCTTCCTGGACATTATACTCTGCCTGCCTCAAGTATTTGTCAATGGGCTGCAGGTTATAAGGACATTTAATTTTATCTACATTTCCTTCTGGAAGTTAGGTTATTGATAAGTGCTTTTTTTCTTGTAAATCACTAAGACATTTGTAAACTAAGGGAGACTCCTGTCCTGTAGGACTATAATCTCTATAAATTAACCATTTGTTTTTTCTTCCCTTAGCTTTAGGGCAGCCAAGAGTGCTGAGGAATGTCACATATATCCCACCTTGGGGGCAGGGGTTGTGGGGTGTCAGCTTGTGCTTTGTCCTTAGCTTGCCTTCTGCTCCCTCATCATCAGAATTGAGTTAAATTGTCTGTGTTGCAGAATTGCTTGATGTGTAGAAAACCCATACATCTGGGGCGCCTGGGTGGCTCAGTCATTAAGCGTCTGCCTTCGGCCCAGGTCATGATCCGAGGGTCCTGGGATCAAGCCCCACATCGGGCTCCCTGCTCAACGGGAAGCCTGCTTCTCCCTCTCCCACTCCCCCTGCTTGTATTCCCTCTCTGGCTGTCTCTCTCTCTGTCAAATAAATAAGTAAAATCTTAAAAAAAAAAAAAAAGATGCCTTAAAAAAAAAAAGAAAACCCATACATCTGGTGTCAGAGGTCCAAAAAGAATATGTGGGAGCCCCAGCCTCCTCTCCCCATCTAGCTAGGGTCTGATAAAATAGAGGGGAGGCTGAAGTGGTCACTGGGACCAGGTTTCTCTGCTTGCTTCTGTGTTGGGTGGAAAAAGGCAATATAGGTCTCTCTGCACCTGACTCATGTGAAGATATAGGCTCCTCTGCTATTTCCAGGTTTGTTTTCATGGTTGCTTTGGCTCACCTGACAAACACATGAAAATAAGTATGTACCCACGTGCCTGTGCCTGCCTAGGGAAACCTGTGTGGCTTGGTGCCAAGAGTGAAAGAAAGAGTGGTGCGCCTTAAAGCCAGGTCTCATCTAAGCAGAGGTAGGCTGGGAGTAAAGGAAGGCTTGGTAGTGCCCCAGAGGAGGTTTTTCTCTTAATCTCCAGTCCAGACCCTGGCAGGGGACCGGGACAGGTAAGGCAGGAGTTTTGGATGGAGCTGTGGAGACTGAAGTTTCCCCTGAGAACTGCTTACTCTTGAGTGGCTATGGTTCCCTCGCTCTGAGCTCTGTGAGGTAAGGTTCTGGCACTTCCATCTTTGTTGAGTAGATGAGAGGCTTCTGGGAAGATGATGTGCTGATCTCATTCTTATCCCTGAAGTTATCTCTGTGACCTTAAAAGACTGATTCCTGGGTGGGAATCATATGGCTTATAGGATTCCTTTATCCAAAAGATGAGGTGGGAGTAAGTAGGTGATCTGAATTCCTGATTACTGGGGCACAGGAATTGAGAGAGGGAGAAGGTCATGCTGAGTGCAGGTTCAGGAAGGTGCTTGTCTTCCTCTGACAGATTCTGGGTTTTTCATATATAGGTTGTTGTGGAATCTAACTTCTTTGAGGTTTCTGGACTGGCTCAACTCTAAACCAAAAGTAGTAGTGTGTGCCATCTCCCTATGGGATGCCTTCTAATGCCAGGTCTGTGGATGAGAGAAGCCATGTAGCTCTGATTGGGTGTCAAAATTCCTGGGTCCTGTTCTGGGAGAATCTCTTTGCAACCCCAGACGGTAGTGAGAGCATGCTGAGGAGGAAAACTGATAGCAGTCAAGTCCCATGTTAGGGTGCCCTCTGGATGTTCTTTCTCCATCAGGTCTTAATTATATTCTCTCTCTTTTCTGGGCACTTTGGAAAAAGAGATGTATTGAATGGGCAAACAGCAATGTAGGAAGTAAGATTGATGTTGTAGACACAGCAACACACAGGTGTGTATTTTCATGAAGGTCCTTTCCTTGTTCTAGTCTTTGCAGTGGCCCTGGTCTTAGCATCTTCCTAGCCTTTCTCTCCACCTGCTCATGTTCTTTGCTGGCCTGAGAGTAGCTACAGACTTGTCCACATGTTGCTGGATACTGCAGAAGTTCCTGTTTATGTTTGGGTGGAGGTGAGTGGGTGTGGGCAGTGAGAAGCCTATCAGGCTGACTAACCTGGCAGTGGGAGTCTGGTCTTTGCAGGACAGGTTGGTAGGTTTTAAAATGGTAAGACCAGGCCAAAACCTGCACCTCAGGGAGAATCCATGCTATGGATAAATCTAATGCCAACCTATTCTTGGTGTCAAGCCAGGTACCTCTTGTTGGAAGTTGCCATCAGCTGAGCTCTCACAGTTATCTTTCTTGGGAGCACTAGGTGTCTGCCTATCTCCATTTATTTCTCTGTGTCCTGTGGTGGAAACGGATATAACCTCATTATATTTAGGTCTGTGTGTAAGGCATGCTGTTCCTACATAAGAGGTTAGCTTTGCAGGTCTAAACCAGAGACTCACCAGCTTCTGCCCTAGACTGACATACTTATATTCTTTGATATTCTTTGCCAGGCCACAGTAAACACAAGTGTGAAGGAAACATTTGTCATGGAAGCCAGGGAGCTGGAAAGCCCCACACCAACCTACCATCTCATTCCCGAGGCCAGCCAGCCCAAGGAAGATGTCAACATGCAACCTCAACAGACTGCAGAAACTATGCAGCTAAAGAAGGAGATCTCGCTGTTGAATGGGGTCAGCCTGGTGGTGGGCAACATGATCGGGTCAGGAATCTTTGTCTCACCCAAGGGCGTGCTGGTATACACTGCCTCCTATGGGTTGTCGCTGGTCGTATGGGCCATTGGTGGGCTTTTCTCCGTTGTTGGTGCCCTTTGCTATGCGGAGCTGGGGACCACCATCACCAAGTCTGGGGCCAGCTATGCTTATATTCTAGAGGCCTTTGGGGGCTTCATTGCCTTTATCCGTCTGTGGGCCTCCTTGCTAATTGTTGAGCCCACCAGTCAGGCCATCATTGCCATCACCTTCGCCAACTACATCATCCAGCCCTCGTTCCCTACCTGTGATCCCCCATACCTGGCCTGCCGTCTCCTCGCTGCCGCTTGCATATGTAAGTCTGGGGTTTAGTGGCGGAGTATGTTTGAGGGTGTGGGTTCCTTTAATAATGCTAATGGTAACTGATACTTGAACACCATATTTTGCTTTTGGAGGGGAAGAGAGGCATCTTACCTTTTTTTTTTTTTTTAAATATTTTATTTATTTAAGAGAGAGAGAGAGCAGGAGCAGGATGGGTGGGGGAGAGGGAGAGGGAGAGGCAGATTCCCTGCTGAGCAGGGGGCCTGATGCGGGACTCAATCCCAGGATCCTGGGATCATGACCTAAGCCGAAGGCAGATGCTTAACTGACTGAGCCACCCAGGCGCCCCGCATCTTACCTTTTGAAGTAATTTCACCAAAGTCATTTAACCCTGAGAGATAAGTAAGGGTAAAGGTTAGGGATGAGAGAAGTTTGAGTCTCTTTGTGGCTTTTGGTGCCTCCCATTCCTTCTACTCTTGACTGTTCCAGAGTTCTGTTCCCCAGTCTATGTGACAGGTTGGTGCATGTCTTACATTTGTCTTACCAGTTGTTTTGATTGGAGTCAACATCACTAGTTGTAACTGAACCCAGAAAAAACATCAGTGCTGAGGACTTTATTTTTTGCTTCCCAGCTTTTTATTTTAAACCAGTTTAGAGGCTGAGGAAAGAGGCTTCTCTAGATTGTTGGGGTCCCAAGGTGTTATCCCTCAGCCCACAGGACCAGTGTTTCCTGCCACTGCCATTCTTTGCAGCCCATTCTGAGCAGCAGGCACCACACCAAAATGGCTTTTTCTCATTGGTGTTTCAAATTTCTTTCTCTCTTTTTTTTTAAGATTTTATTTATTTATGTGGAAGAGAGAGTGCGCACGTGAGAGAGAGAAGGAGGGAGATCACGAACAGGGGAAAGGGTAGAGGGAGAAGCAGACTCCCCGCTGAGCAGGGAGCCCGATGTGGGACTCGATCCCAGGACCGGGATCATGACCTGAGCCGAAGGCAGACGCTTAACTGACTGAGTTACCCAGGTGCCCCATATTTGGGTTTCTGATGACAGAACCCGAGAGATCCCAGTTGATCCCTCTTTATTTTCCTTTTTCTCTCATGAGGTGGTAAGGAGGGATTCTGTGAAATCGCTGAAAAGGAGAGAAGATTGCTGTGAATTTACCCAATCTTGTAGAGCTAGTGTTTTAGCTGAGAAGTGGCCCAGAATTCCCTGTGTTCCTTAGCACTGTGCTGCCAGGGGCACTTAATTATACTCTGTTCTTTCCGTATCTCTGCTTGCAAAAGCTTTGGCAGTATATGCAGTTTATCCACAGTGTTAAAAATAGACTGAGAGTACCTTGGAGTTAGCAAAAAAGGATTGTACGGTACACTGTGCTTCCTGACTTTAAGGAATTTGTTAAAGACAAATGTTAAAGGGAACCCCTCCACATGTAGCCCAAGGAGGAGGTAAGGTGGGTACTCAGCTGTATGTGTGTTAGGGTCTGGCCAGGGGAACTCAGGCCTGACTGAGTTCTCTAAAAAAAAGAAGAATTTTCTGATTATAAAATGTGTTCATTAGGGAGAAGATGAACTTATCCTCAATTACCCATAATCTACCACCACAAGATGAACACCTTTAATAATTAAATCATGTCTTCATTTCTTTCTTTTATAGAATTGGCATCGTACTTTGCATATAACTTTATATTCTGCTTTTTAAATTTAGTATATCATGTTTTTCCCCTTTTTATGGAATGTTCTTCAAAAGAAACAGTTTTTAAAGTAGCGTCTTTTTATTATAATTACTATTATTTAAAGGGAATACATAGACATTATAGGCACTTTGAAAATGCAAAAAAATAGAAAAAAGAAAAGAAAAATCACCCATAATTTTATTTTTTAAATTTATTTTATTTTTAAAAGATTTTTATTTATTTATTTGTCAGAGAGAGAGAGCACAAGCAGTGGGAGCCGCCAGCAGAGGGAGAAGCAGGCTCCCCACTGAGCAAGGAGCCCCATGTGGGACTCGATCCCAAGACCCTGGGATTATGACCTGAGCTGAAGGCAGATGCTTAACCAACTGAGCCACCCAGGCATCCCCACCCCATAATTTTAACTCCCAGAGAACTATTGCTACTATTTGTGTGAAATACCTCCTAGTATTTTTTTTTTCTGTGCTTATCTCTTTTTTTTTTTTTTTGCTCTTGAGATCATACTATCTGTGGTTTGTATAATACTTTAAAAATTTTAATATTTAATCCCTTTCATCAGATATTCTTAGAAAACATGGTTTAGGGACACATAAATAGTTTCCTGGCAGTGTAGTATAGTGGTTAAGATCATAGCTCCCATGCCAGACCAGGACTGATTCTAGCTTTACCAGCTGTTTTTCCCAGCTGTTAACCTTGGAGGAGTTAGTTAACTGTTGCCTTGGTCTTCTCATTTGTAAAATGGAAATATCATGAGGAATAAATGAATCAATACAGGTACAGTACTTCTCTTTCTGGCATGGAGTAAGTGCTCTGTATTATTATTATAAATAATATTGCTGTGGGAGTCTTTGTATATAAAGATTAAGAGTTTCTGCATCTTGGGGCGCCTGGGTGGCTCAGTTGGTTAAGCAACTGCCTTCGGCTCAGGTCATGATCCTGGAGTCCCGGGATCGAGTCCCGCATCGGGCTCCCTGCTCGGCAGGGAGTCTGCTTCTCCCTCTGACCCTCCTCCCTCTCATGCTCTCTGTCTCTCATTCTCTCTCTCTCAAATAAATAAATAAAATCTTAAAAAAAAAAAAAGAGTTTCTACATCTTTTTTTTTTTTTAGGGTAGAATTAGCTATACAGGAGAAATACCTGTGTCTAAAGAAATAAACAGTTTTAAGATTCTTCGTGTGTTACCCAGTTTCCTTCTAGAAGGTTTTGTGAGTTTGTGCTCTTATCTAAGCACTTGAGAGTGCCTGTGTGTTGGCCTCGTGATGGCCTTAGGGTGAATTCCAAGGATAACCAAGTCAAAGGACACCATTCTATATATAATTTTTCATGTATAGAAGATTTTTATTTGGTAAATCTTTTTTCCTTTATGATTTTCTCCATTGTTTTTGTTCTTTTGTCCTTAACAAAGCCCATCCCCATACCAGGAACTGCTCTTTTTTCTTTTCTTTGCCAGAACTGCTCTTTTGATTGGCGGAGAGACCTCACCTCTTAGACGTGCAGTCATGGTATCTGTAGCTTTTTTCATTCAAGTGTACTTTTACCCAAATTACTCACCATCGGAATTCCTTCACGCCCCTATCCCAGAAGCCCAGGCTTTTCCATAATGCATACCTGCAGGTCGGAACTTGTCAGAAATGGGCTTAAGTCATACAACCATGTCCTGTCCTAACTGACAAGACTTTGGGGTTCAGCTTACTTCTCTTCTTGGAATTTAGGGTGTAGAATTGGGCTGATGCATCATCTAACAAAGCTGGGATGTGCTGAAGGGAGTCTCTTTGGGCAGGGGTGGCAGTGGTCTTAAGAGACAAAATTGGAAGATACCAATTAGGTCATAATACAAAAATCTGCACTGAATCCACGGCGAAATTTAGGTAGGATAGGAGAATTGAGTTAGTCTTGAAATTAAGATAAGAGGGGTCCAGGTTGTTTTTTTGGGAGACTGTCTATGGAAATTATAGCCATGCAAGCTATACAATTGAAGTTCCATTCTAGAAGAAAGGGCCCAGCATTCTCCATATAACAACTGCAGGTCAGAGTTGCAAGCTAGTGGCCCATGGGCCAGACTTGACCCACAGATATATTTGTTTAGCCTAGTGTTGTAAGCAATTTTGAATTACTTGCCAACATTTTAAAACCAGGACCTTTCTGTTGAAAAATCAAAAGTTCTGGCAACCTTGGACCCAGATTCCTTCCTGACACAATCAGCTGCCTTTGTGTAGTGGTTGCTCCCTTTATTTATTTTTTAATATTTTATTTATTTAGGGCGCCGGGGTGGCTCAGTTGGTTAAGCGACTGCCTTCGGCTCAGGTCATGATCC